CTGCCACTAACTCATTATATGGGCAATATCTTAGCATGTTCTGGGCCACGCTTTCCACATTCGTGAGGGGAGGGATGACAATAGTTTGACTACCTCATTAGTTTGTGTGGGGATTTAACAAGTTGATTTAAAAAAGTGCCAGGTGCAGGCCATGAATATTATTATTGTTACACTACAGCTGGTGACCATGGAAAATCTATCTGGTGTTAAATAAAAATTCTGGATCAAATGTGTGTTTCTTAACCGACCATGACGTAACGGGAAGACAAATCTGCTGACTATGACAGTGTCCTAAACAAAATAGTCGCAGCGTCACTGTTACCAAGGGGCTGCTGAACGAAACTTCGCTTTTGTCCCAAATAAAGGTCAAATTTAGTCATTTAACTTCCTGTTTTCCTATATTATCCAGGAATCTCAGCAACCAAGAAGAAGTGTTCTTTTGTTTATTTTATTTTGGAGAAGGTTGAATAAAATTTTCCATTTTTTAAAAAAATTCTTTATTTTTATTTCATTTTATTTCAAAAATTTTTTTAAATTTTTTTTTAATTTGTCAGAGAAAGAGAGAGATGGAGCACATACAGGGGGAGTGGCAGGCAGAGGGAGAAGCAGGCTCCCTGCTGAGCAAGAAGCCTGATGAGGGACTTGATCCCAGAACTCTAGAATCATGACCTGAGCCGGAGGCAGATACTTAACTGAGCCACCTAGGTGTCCCAAAACTGCATTTTTTAATGTTCCTCTGTAGTCATTTTTCATTTAAAATATAATTTTATATAGTTTTATTATGGCATATACAATTTAATTATTTTTACTTAAGCTGACATTATAATTTTCCACATTGCTTCTTAGTTCCTATCATCTCTTGTTTTAAAGAGTTTAAGGAAGACAAATTCTCAACACATATAGGAACTTTTCAAGATATGTCTATAAACAAAGTTTTGAAAGCTCAAGTGATGTTCATTGCTTCTCACGTGAATATTGATCCAATTCTCATCAAACTGATGACTTTGAATTGCTTATGTCATTGGTTTCTCCCAAAGGTGATCCTGAAGCACATTTTGATATTGGCAGCAGTGAGCATTCTAGAAACAAAACTAAAAGCTTTTTGCTGCATTCGTGAAGAGGGTGAAAGTGCTTCCCAAGCATAAATCTAGCAGCAAGGGGGAATGAGGATAATGACTGGCATTAGAGCACTGACCATTATTTCCCGCTCATCAGAGAAACGGGACCTATAACGCCGCATGGCAGAGGCAAGAACAGACCCAGAGATCCTCACCAGACAAATCATTTGGGGGGCAGAGAGTGGATAGTGATGTGAGTTTGTAGGGTATATATATATATATATATATATATATATATATATATAAAGTGCTTCTAGGGGTGCGGAGGTCTGTTCCTTTGTCCTGTATAGCTCACGGGTCCCAAATGACAATGCATCGCCCAGCACCTGACCTACATACAACCCCCTTGTCCTAAAGCATTTGCCCTTAAAGGGGTGGTTAGAGCCAATTACATTTTTCCTCTTTTTTGGCGGGGTGGGAATTCTGGCAACTACACTCACTCATATGTAGGCTCCAAGAATAAGCTGCTTCTATCTAGGAAAAAAAAAGAGAGAGAGAGAGAGAGAGAGAGCGATGCTTTTTAAGCAGAATCCATAGCTTCTTTCAGAGAAGCAATCGAATCAGCCAGATTGGCAAAATAAACCTGCTAATCAATGGAGGAAGTGAAGCTCTTGCCAGTTATCCTCACATCCATCTATTCTCTTAGGCATTGTAAGGGACAGCCACAATTTTCACGTCAAACTAGCCTCCAAAATCATTTATATTCATTTCTTTCTCTAAGACACCTTCAAACAGAGTATGCTAATGCTGGCATGTGCATAAATGTGTTTGTATTTGTGTTTGTTTTGGAGTTCTGAATATCTCTGGTTGTGGAATATGCTTACTGTTTCTTCTGAAAAGATATCAGAGGAAAAAGAAAGTGATATTTCTGGGAATCATGGTCTTATTCCACCTACCCATCTAGTTGACTCTCTAATTTTCAGCTTAATTTTAATAAAAGACATTGAATAGCTCTGCTTTTATGATTTAAATGGACTTTCAAATTGGAATTTAACCATCTGATATAACGAAGTGGGTGGACTTCAGTCTTCAGAAGAAAAAGAATAAACATACTGAAAGCTGTAATTAAAATTTTCCATTTGCCTCCAACCCTCTTAATGCAACTATTGTCAAACTGAAATATCCAGTGCCCAAATTCAAACCTCAAGTTTTACAAAAAGTGGTAGGGGGTGGCAGCTGAAAACATTCCAGAAAAGGCAGATTTTGGTAGAAATCCATATCCACTGGATGAGCACGAACACCCTGAGGTGTATTGAATTCAGAGTATACCAGTAGAGAACATTGGTCAAACAATTTCCTTAAACAGAGGTGATTAAAATAACTTTGTGAAGCTCCCATTCTATAATGCAAATGTTTCAGCTCCTAATGTTTCAGTGGAGGCATCACTGAGGAAGGTATGACAAAGTAAGTCCTAAAGAAATAAGAAAGGAAAACTTCAATACAGAACAACTTGGATGTATCTGCCAGTTACTCAAGCCCCCAACCTTAGAGTCAAACTTGACCCATCTTGTCTATCACACCCAGGGACAAGATCCAAGGTCTCTGGGGCACGGTAAAGATCTTAAGAAAAAAAAACACACACACACAGACAGACACACACATTTTCTTTTTCTTTGCAAACTTTCCAAAAACATAAGCTAATGAAAGCGTCCAGAAGCCTCACAGTAAATTCCCCTCTGTGCACACTGCACTTCTGTTGGTTCTGCTTTCAGTGTATGTCAAGAATCCAAACTCTTTTCCATCTCTCCCCCACCATCCTGGACCCAACTACTTTTATTTCTTGCTTGAACTACTGAAATATTACTATGTCTTCCCTTGGGCCTTTATAGTCCATTCAACTCACAGTCAAGCAAATTAGATTGTGTCCTAGGTTGGCTCAAAACCCTCCAACCTTGTCTTCTGTAGTAATATGTAAGTCCTCACTATGCCTTTCAGAGTCCCGCTCTATCTGGCCACCCTGTGCCTCTTGGACCAAGTTTGCTCCTTATTCATCTCTTACCAACCAGGAGTCCTTGTTGTTCTGAGAACCTGTTAATCATGCCCCCAGGCCTCTGCATTTGTCGTTCCTGATGTCCAGAATACTTTCCCCTGGAATCCATACTTCCTTCCAGTCTATACATCAATGTCACTTTCGCAGGCACACAATATAAAACAGCAGCAGCCCGCGCCCCCCAACCCCCAGAAATCTTATCCTCCCTGCTTCGGATTTATCTCTACATTCTTAGCCTCATTTGGCATATCTTTGTTTTGTTCTACTCTCCTCTTCCAGACTGTAGGCTCTATGAGGGTAGGGATTTTACTGTATTCACTGCTGTGACCCATTCTTAGAACAGTGCCTGACATCTAATAGGCACATAATTAACATATGTGGAAAGAAGAAGAGATTATCTAGCCTGGGAAATCAGGTTAATCATGATGTCATTGGCAGAGAAAGAAAAATTATATTCAGGGAGATGGTGGAATGCCTTCTGAAAATGACAGATTCTTAACTTATGGTTACAGTCTGTGAGTAAATACCTATTTTTGATGGAGAAGAAAGTAAACCTGAGGAGTAAGTCCTAGAACAGGACCTATTTTTTTTTAATTTCAGATCTCGTTTTGCAAAAGTTACCAAAGTTACAATGCACTAATTCTCCAATCAAGTTTCACTCCCTTTTACTATGTGTTTATCTTTCTTTCATGTTCCAAATAGGCAAGGAAAATTTCATAGACTGCAATGACAAAACAATTAATTTCGAGAGGTATTTTCTCAAACCGTGAACATAAATCGGCTGGTCATTTACTCTGAGATTTTACTTCTATGGGTGAGGTAGCAAAACGTCCCTCCCCTCTCCCCCAACTCAGGTGTCTCTAATCCCATCTTCATTCCCGAGGTCTCTCCAGGAGGAAGTGAGTTCCAGGAGAGGTTTCAGAGGGCTCCAAAAAGGAGGAAACTTAATGCGGTTCGAAAGAGCAGTCCCTGCATTTGGCTGTTGGTCAAAACTATACAGACAGTTAAGGAGAGAAGACTAGGATGTGCCCTATTCCCCTCTCCGCAGGGATGCTCTTTAGGCTGCTGGTCTCTTGGAAAAGGGGGGTCTTGGAGGGAAATTTTCCCTGGAGCATAAGGGTCTGCATTTCTCCAGCTGGGGAGGAGTCCCGGTGTTTTGGGGGTACAGGATTTCCAAGTTAAGGCTCTCTAAAGAATTTTTCCCAACGGAGCTCCCCTAGGAAACTGACACTTGAGGAGCACGTCTCCCTCGCATCAGGTCTCTATTTACCCGAAGACAAATGAGCCTGCTTTGAAAGCTATAAACGGTGGCCCTGGGAGATCATGTCTGCCCTGGAGTCCGGCTTCCGGTTCTCTCTGTGTCAGTTAAAGCTCTAGGGGGTGAACGCGGTAGTCAACTGCTCATTCATTCAACAAATATTTATTAAGCGCCCGCTGAGTGCCAGGCACTCGGGGTGCCCGGAGCCAAGAGACAACTTAAGAATTTCTACTCGTTCCCCCAGAGGCGCGGCGCGCAGTGGGAGCGACCCCGCACTCCTCGCCCACCCGCGCGGCCCGCAGCCCGCCTGGGTGTGCCCCGCGCCTCCAGCGCTGCCCTCCCGACGCCCCCCGGGATCCATCCTCGAGGGTTTAATCCGGGTGAGGAAGGCGGGGAAAAACGCCAAACACTAAAAGGAAAAAACCTCAGCCCAGTCGGCCCTGGGAAGCCGCTCCCGGGAAGTGCGCGAGGCGGAGCCGGGCGAGCGCAGAGCCCCGGGGCGGGTGGGAGAGGCCGGGCGCCCGCGGGTCGGGGCGCGGAGGCGGCCCCGGCGGGCGGAGGGCGCGGCCGGCGGGAGGGGCCGGGGCGGTGCCGGGAGGGGCGCGCACGGCGGCGCGGCCGCCGGGCCCAGCAGGTGACCGCGGGCCGGGGCCGAGAGGGAGCGAATCCCGTGCGGGCGGCGCGGCGGGGAGACGGCTCGCGGGGTAGGCGAAGTTTGCTGGAACATGGCGGAGGAGCCCGGGGCGCGCAGGAGCGCAGCGCGGCGGCGGCCGGGGCCCCAGGAGCTGTAGCCGCCGCAGCTGCAGCCGCCACCGCCGGCGCCGCCGCCGCAGTCGCGGCGGGGCGAGGTCGCCGCCATGGCCCGCTGGATCCCGACCAAGAGGCAGAAGTACGGGGTTGGTGAGTGCTAGCCCCACCCCGCCCGCGCCCGGCTGCCGCGAAGTTCGCGGGAGCGGCCCTGCCCTGCGCAAAGTTGGACGGCGGACGCCTGGCCACTGGGTACCCGCGCTTCCCGGCACCGGGTTCGGCTCCCGCTGCCCTCGCAGGCGCAGTCAACACTCAACTCCCGCGACGGCAGTTCCCGGTTGGGGACGTCCCTCCGGGTTTGGGGAATCCGAGTGGCTAAAAGTGCACTCGGGCTCCGGGACTGGTAAGCCGGCTCCCGAACCCAAAGCTCCAGCGCTCCGCAAGGTGGAAATGTCAAAGACGAGCGCTCGCCAGCTATTCATTTGGGGCACCCGGCCCTGGTACTCGCCTTTCTCCTCCCCATCCTTGTGGTTTCATTGAGTAGTTTATGATCCTCCGCCGTCGGCGGAATGCGGGTGCCTCTCGCGGACCCAGCGCTTTCTGCCTTCCCTCTTCCTGGGTTCTCTCTGAGGTCCCAATGTGAGGGTTTGGGGGTAGAAAGCCGCCCGCCCCCCTTACCTCCCAGGGACTGGGACCCTGCTAACAGTTTTAAACTGATGCGGGAAACTGAAGTCGTGGGGTGGAGGTGATGGAAGAGACAGGAAGTGTGTGACCAGGCAATGGGGGTGGTTGCCCCCGGGGGCTGATTGTGCAGACACGCTCGTTCCTAACGGAGCTTGCATGAAGGCGCTGTAAGACTGCCTTCTGAGCCCCGAGTTTCATCGTGGGATAACATGAGGATATGTTGTTAAGAAAACTGGGACAGGTCCTGGCCAGGCACTTGGCATTACCAACAGCGGTGCTGGAAGTGCCCCCACCACCCGCGGAGGGATTGGTGTTGTGTTGTTTTGGACCCGAGACGCTGGCTGTGCCTGGTTTGGACCCAGGTGAAAAGCCATGGTCCTTGAACCTTTTATCCAGGAGTGAGGTTGCTGAGGTCTCCTGGAAAGACTGCCATTAGCCAGGCGATTACAGGGGCAAGTAGACTTCCGAGCGGTTCCCTAGAATAAACACAGTTGTGTGTGTTGAGAATTGTATCACTTGCTCTCAGGTTCATTCATTTGGCCCATTGGTAATTTAATCTTTTATTTTCGTCCTTTCCCTGCCCCCCCATTTTTCCTCACCGCTTCAGTTAGTAGGGAGTGGTCGGTCCCTGAACAACTTCTATGCTTCTGCGTTTTCTGACAGTGAAGTCCTTTTTATTTTTTTTTTTAAAGATTTTATTTATTTATTCATGAGAAAGAGAGAGAGAGAGAGGCAGAGGGAGAAGCAGGCTCCCAAGGAGCAGGGAGCCCGATGCGGGACTCGATCCCAGGACGCTGGGATCATGACCTGAGTCGAAGGCAGATGCTTAACCATCTGAGCCACCCAGGCGCCCCCTTTTAAAAGATACTCTTGTTTTGTTTTGTTTTTTTATCCTCTAAGTGCTTTTCAACTCTAATCACGAGTCAGTTAAAAAAAACCAACAACCAAACCCTTTCACATTTACTATAGTATTCTTAATTATGACCCTTTATGTATGTGTCTGTATATATAATGGTATATATTCTATATAAGAAATTCCTTGTTTTCCCTCTATTCCAAAAAACTTGTTTCCTCTTAAATTTTATTTAGAATCCTTGCACTCTCCTGTCGCTACAACTCTGAAATAAGTATGTGTTTCTTCTGCCCCAGACTACCTGGTTATAATTTGGTCATGAGGCTTCTCGCAGTTGCTAGTAAGTCGCCAATAGTTATGGAGGTGAAATGGTCTAAGATAGAGGGAATGAATTTCTTTATTTTTGAGCGTTACAGAGTGCTACTAAATTAAAGCATATTTAGCAATGCCTAATCATTAATTACTAACAAAGTTATCGGTTTTAATTTTAACAGGATCCAAAACTATGAGGACTTTTGTGTAGTTCATGCAAGCATACCCCCCCAAATATGGTTTTAATTGCCACAGTCATAGGGGCAAGTATGACGTTTTCTTTTTAATATACTTTTTTTTTCCTGTTCTGGAGTCATTTTACCCAGTTATTTATCATCAGTCAGAAGTATTTGAATTGCATTTCCAGGGCATCGGTGGTAGAAAAATTGCCCCAGGATATAATTTGGCACACTTATTTTACTAGACACAATAGATTCTGATTAATCTTGGTTTGACAAAAGGACCCACTGTTAGGACAGATTAGCCGAGCAGATAAATCACCATTGTTTATTCCTAAAACTCACTGTTGTTCGGAACACCTCCCTGCTTGGAAGCCTTCCTTGGCCTACAGGGTAAAGTCTAAATTGAGCCCAACTTTCAAGGTTTGAAAATCTTGTTCAACCTGTCTCTACCAACCTTATCTCTCCTGGCTTCTTTCATGAACTCACCAGTGCCGACACTGCCCTTCTTTGCTCTTGTGCAATATGCAGTGGAGGGTCTCTCCTTTGGGAATTTGCTCCCTTGTGCCTGTCCCCTGTCCAGAGTGCCCTCCCACGTCTGCATCCTCCCCAGTCCGGCCTTTTCCTCAGGGCTCAAATCTATTCCCATTGCTTCCCCAGGTTTGGTATGAGCCAGACCTTCCCAAACCTTTATGCCTCTCCTGACAATGATGACATTGTGCCATCCTTTGTTACTTATCCTTTTATTCTTGGGCTCACTCAATCAGAAGGTTATGGTTCTGTATCCCTGTCACAATACCAGATATAGAGCATGCATTCAGTAACTGCTTGTCCTTGGTCTTGAGGTGACACTGTAAAGCCCTAACCTAATTTCTGTGATGATTTAAGGCAGCTCCTCTCCCCACATTCCCATTCACCACAATATGATTTGGTTAAATGCGCGAAGCGAGAGCCTTCAGTCTGTCTTTATCTTTGCAAGTAAAAAAAAAAAAAAAAAAAAAAAAATGAGATGTGCTGTTGAGAAAATAAGAAAGCATAGAGTAGACAGACTCATTTAAATATAATTAGGAAAATTGGCTTGTTGGACTTTTGGGGGGATAGTTATCACTTGTGAGTGTCTGCTGGTTGGATTGCGTTTCTAGGTGAAGGAAACCATATGATAGACATTTTGAACCATTTTAATGACTCACAGCTACTCTGTGTGAGGGTAGCGCTTTGATCTCAATTTAAATTTTGCTAAGGGAGGCTGGCAGTCTCTACCCTTATATTATCTTGGTGCCATTATTGGCTGCTCCTGACATAGCCTAGATTTTTCTATGGGGACTGAAATGTAATCTGTCTGGGCTTTCTTAGTTCTTAAACATAGCTCTGTTGGCTCAATCTCTAGCATTTGGAAGGGCCTAAATGACCCATGTGTGTTATCTCTCTATCAAGGGAGAGGACCAATAGATTTGCTTCTTTAAAGTTCTAGTCCATTAGTATCCCTGTGTGAAGTGTTCCATGCCAAGTGCTTAGAAACAAGTGTGCTTCCCAAGCCACTCTTTTCTTCCTTCCTTTTTCTTTACTTTACTTTTCTTTTTCTTTCTTCTTTCTTTTTCTTTTTCTTTCTTTCTTTCTTTTTCTTTCTTTCTTTCTTTCTTTCTTTCTTTCTTTCTTTCTTTCTCTTTCTCTTTTTCTTTCTTTCTTTCTTTCTTTTTCTTTTCTTTCTTTGTTTCTTTGTTTCTTTCTTTCCCTCTCTCTCTCTTTCTTTCTCCTTTTCTTTCTTTCTTCCTTTCTTTCTTGAAATTTTTCTGTTTGAGGATAGGAGGGTATAATCGCTTTTATTTAGACTTAAAGCAAACTTTAGTGATATATATCCAGGTTACTCTTCTGATGATTTGAAACATTTATGTTTAAGTCTGCACCCAAACAAGCTTTTTATATCAATAACAGTCCCTGATTATGTTGATGGTTGATTTTTTTTGCAAAATAATTCATTATTGTTTGTGATCTATATTGTTACAATGCAATAAAAGGTAACGTGGGAGAACCTTTGTTTTCACCATTAGCTCTTCATCTGTTTGGTTCTGCTAGGCCCCATTAATCTGAAAGCATTTAGCTTGGTAGGGTAGTCCCTCAAATGCTGGTGTAAAGATTGAAAGCAGACCCTTGTAGCTCTTTGTTAATAATGCATTCAGGTGTGCTGTGGGTTCCCATCCAGCTCTTGAGGGGAGGGTCTCAGAGAATAACTAGTCTAGTTTCCTTTTAAAGAGAGGAACTTAGTGTCTAAAGAGGTAAAATGAATTGCTTAACGCAAAGTAACCTTTTGAACTCCTTTGAACTCCCTTGGTCATCTGGTTAAGCCGGTGGATCACTTTCTTAGAGTAATGATTTTAACTGCATAAAGTCAACTATGAAGGATTGAAAATGAAACCCAGTTGTATTGAAATACAGCTGTCAAGATATTTTTCAAAATTTGTGATATTGTAATATATGTGCTTATTAATGCACTAGATAACAAGATCTAGTGGCAGGTCTCATAACAACCATGCTTTTGAATTAGTGGTGAGCATATATGATTTTTTTAAGATATCTGCAGTAACTGTGATATGATATGAAAATACCTATGATTTCAGTTTGGTACAAGTGGGGCTTTATTGCCTACAGTCATAATTAAAGTAAATGCTGAGGGTTAGAAAATAGAGATGTATTTTTTTCCCTTTTCAAGTCCATGGATCTCTGAATTTGAACACAGATTAAAAATCTTTGGCTGAAGATCACACAGCTAATTAGTCATGGAACCAGAATAAGCTGTCTACAGGAGTCATGGTACTGCTAGATATTATACATACAGCTGAAGAAGTCTTTTCCCTAATGTGTTTGTGTTCTAATAACATTGAGGCTAAGAATAAAAGGAATAGAGAATTAGTATTATTATGAATTTACTTTGTGACTGTTTTAAATCCTTTAATTCAGTACGTTCCGGGTACGTGTGGGGGTTTTGGAGATATTTTCAGTGGGTCCATGAGATTAAAACCTTTTTGGCAATAATACTAAAATGTTATTGGCTTGTTTCACTCTACCTGCTCATGAGTATACAATACAGTTTCCCAGAAACTGCATGAAGTGTGATATCGCAGCAGATT